AGTCTGTTTGAGTGTTGAGTTGAGTTTCATTTAGTTATCAAAAAGTAAGCACTAATCTCTATTTACAATTCGGTTTGTGGGTTGATGATGTTTGAAAAATTGTTGCAAGATTTTAGGCAATTTTTGCTAAGACGATATTTTAACTGGGCAGAAATGTGTTAAACAGAAATTAAACATATTGAAGCAGTTGATCAAAGCCGTGATCTGAATTGGATTGACCTAGCCTAGTTAAAAATTGGTTTAAGCCAGACCAAACCGGGCCAAGCCAGACCAAACCGGGCCAAGCCAGACCAAACCGGTCCAAGCCAGACCAAACTGGGTCAAGCCAGACCAAACCGGGCCAAACCAAGTCCTGTGCTGGTTTTACTGAAATTCTGATCTACATATTGCTTGGGTCCACCAGAAGCCATGTTGGCCTGGCGGGCTGGCCCACCGCCCAGGCCCAGTGGCCCATTATAGCACCGCACTTTAGAGGGCCTAGATTGGCCACAATTGGGTGGATCGTTCTGATTTCTCTGGAGCTAAATCTTAAGTATATCTCCTAGTATGGTGCACATTATCTAATTGATTTAAGCTTTCAACTTTTTTATATAGCCTTTCAAAGTTGAGAGCCGAGTATCGCTCGGTTCATTTTTGTTTTTTAAGCTGAAAGAGCTTAAAAAGCTTTTAAGTTTGAGCTATAAATCATTCAAGTAAAAACAGACGATCGTAATTGAGTTTTGGTGAGATTTTTCAACAACTTTTGCACTTAAACTGTGAGATTTCGTTCATTAACATGATAAATTCAATCTCAACGTGCTTTTGACAAGATCGCTCTCAGAAATCCCATAAATGAGGAGCGTGCCGAGTGACGATCGACTCATAACTTTGGAAAGCCATATAGAAAAGTTGAAAGCTTGAATCGATTAGATAATGGGCACCATTCTAGGAGATATATTTTGAAAGGTTAAAATGGCCTGGCCTGTCCAAAAATCATGCTACACGGTGGCCCACTACAGGGAGCGACACTCGGCTCTCAACTTTGAAAGGCTATATAAAAAAATTGAAAGCTTAGATCAATTAGATAATGGGCACCATTCCAGGAGATATATTCAAGATTTACCTCCAGAGAAATCAGAACGATCCACCCAATTGTGGCCAATCTAGGCCCTCTGAAGTACGGCGCTATAATTGTGGGCCATTCTGAATCTGGCTCGATTCTAAGCCAACCTCATCAGTATACAGTATCAAACGGTATACTGTATAAAAGGTGGTTTGTGGTTTGCCTTGGTTTAGTCTATCTTTAGCTCTGGAAAACAGATCTAACAGATCAAACAGATCAAACAGATCAAACAGATCAATCAACTAAATTACTTTTGTGGGCAGGCTAGGAAAATCGGGTAAAATAGTGCATATGAAGTAAAATATGAAGCAGAGAACTAAAAGAAAAGAACTAAAAGAACTAAAAGCAAAGAAACTTGCAAAATGTTCGTCTTTAAGCCTTTGAAAAGCTTTGAAACGTTTTGGAGCAACTTCCGAATAACAGTAGAGAACTAAATGAAAAGTTTTGAATTCAGCGTTTAAATCATTGGTTGTCACTGTTCTTTTCTGTGTGACAAATCGCTAAAAGCGAAATGTTTATCCACAATTTCATTGATTTGACACAATTCTGCAAATTTTCTTATTTCAATTATTGGGTTGGGGAGAATGAGTCGGCGCCGAAAATCAAAAAAATGCAACTTAAGTAATTGAATGTGCTCTATCTTTTTTATATAAACACCAAAGAAGGTTTATGTGAAAGAAACTGTTCAAATGTGGTCGGCTTTTGCCATTTAACCAGCTGGTTTCGAAGTTCATAAACTCCACGAAGAAAGCTTTGTGGTTCTCAAAAGTGTTTTGTGGAATAGTGGATCCTTTTGATGAAACCAAACGTATGTTTGGGCTTTTGTGTGCAAAGTCCCTTTAAAGTTTGGCGCCGACTCATTCTCCCCAAGCTTTTTAGCAATTTGAAAATTCTATTAGGTTGGTGAATTGAAAACTGCGGGACTTTGAACTTTTCCTAAACTAAAATTTATTCAACATGAAAGGATCAATGCATTCGAAATAATTTCCATTATTATTGATGACTTCTGCTCATTTTACAGGCAATTTGCGGATTCCTCTTTCGTAGTAGGATTTTGGTTTGTGTGTGAGACAAGTGTGAGACTCAAAAATGGAGGACTGGAGATGTCCGATAGAGAGTTTGAGCACTTTCTTCAAAAGAAACCCATTTTGGTGTCAATAGAAAAGTTGTAGAGAATCAAAAATTAGGCTTATAGCCCAATTTCCAAAAAGATACACTTAGTAGTTTCGCTTAAAATGCAAGTTTTGTTGCAAGTTTTGTTACAAGTTTTGTGAAAATTCGTAAATTTCGCATTTCTTGAAAGCCAGTTTTTGAATCGTTCTGAAAATTTGGATATAAGCTTGATTTTTGATTCTCTACAACTTTTCCATTGACACCAAAATGGATTTCTTTTGAAGAAAGTGCTCAAACTCTCACATATGACAATAGGCCGCAGTTTTCAATTCACCAACCCAATAATAAGATAATAATTTTCGGTTTTTGAATCAAACGTCAAACTCGATCTGCTCAGCTTTCTCTATTCTCTCTATTCTCCGGATTCTTTATGACATCCAAAAAACACAAATGGTGACATAAAATTCGAGGGGAATTCCCAAAAAATAATCGCCAAAACGTGATGCCCATCTTTTCTTTTTGCACTTTCACAAGGTACAAATGATTGCAAATGACCGAACAAGAGTTGATTTTCGGTGCTATTACACTTGGGGACAAGTTTATATTATTTTTAAAATATTTTACTGCTTATTTTTACAATTCCTAATGTTTATTCGTTTTGCTTAATAATCAAACGTTCAAAATCGACTATATACAAAAAATAAAACTTCCGTCCGTCCGTTCGTTCGTCTGTCCGTCCGTCCGTTCGTTCGTTCGTCTGTCCGTCTGTCCGTCCGTTCGTCGGTTCGTCCGTCCGTTCGTTCCTCTGTCCGTCCGTCCGTTCGTTCGTTCGTGTCGTCCTCGCCCCCCCGGCCCCCGCCCGTTCGTTCGTCCGTTCTCCGTGTCCTCTTCCGTTCTTCGTCCGTTCGTTCGTCTGTCCGTCTGTCCGTTAGTTCGTCCGTCCGTTCGGCCGTTCGTCCGTTCGTCCGTTCGTTCGTCCGTCCGTTCGTTCGTCTGTCCGTCTGTCCGTTCGTTCGTCCGTCCGTTCGTCCTCGTCCGTTCGTCCGTTCGTTCGTCCGTCCGTTCGTTCGTCTGTCCGTCTGTCCGTTCGTTCGTCCGTTCGTTCGTCCGTTCGTTCGTTCGTTCGTCTGTCCGTCTGTCCGTCTGTCCGTCCGTTCGTCCTTCGTCCTTCGTTGGTCTGTCCGTCCGTTCGTCCGTTGGTTCGTTCGTCCGTCCGTCTGTCCGTTCGTCTGTCCGTCTGTCCATTAAGCCCTTTAAAGATTTAAGCTCTTTAAGTTAACAAGCTCTTTAGATCTTTTAACCGTTTGCAAATTGGTCGGATTTGGATCAAGATTTACAAAGAACAAACTTCTAAAAACCAACGCTAAAAGACTTTTGTCCATGACTGGACATGGAAAAGAAAAGAATGCAAGTGCTAAAATGCAATTGGATGAAACCTTTAACTTTTTGCCCAAAGATTCATGTTTTAGCGTGAGCCAGAAAGTAAAAATCACCGTTTTTCTTCATTTCTCAGGTTTTTTTTGATATTTTCGATAATGATTTTTGATAACATAGTTAGGTATTTCTTGATTTAGCTTGTCTTTAGGTTCATTTTTGACCGTGTCTTTCAAAAACTAAGCACGTTTGGCTGGTTCAAGGCTCAAGGCTCAAGGCTCAAGGCTCAAGGCTCAAGGCTCAAGGCTCAAGGCTCAAGGCTCAAGGCTCAAGGCTCAAGGCTCAAGGCTCAAGGCTCAAGGCTCAAGGCTCAAGGCTCAAGGCTCAAGGCTCAAGGCTCAAGGCTCAAGGCTACTAAGCAAGACCCAAGCAAGCAGGCTCAAGCAAACAGGCTCAAGCAAGCAAGGGTTATTGGCTCAAGCAGATTGAGGTTCATTGGCTCAGTTTTGAGTATCGGCGATTTTTCTCTTTTTTGAGCAATCCTATTTAGCAATCTTCGTCTCAATCACTATTTTTGAATCAGTTTTCAGATTTTGTTTTTTCAAATGCAGTTTTCCATTGTTTTGCATTGATTTCTTTTTTGCCTTAACATTTATTGTGCGCCGTCGTGAGAAACGTGTCGTCGAGAAGAGAAAGAAAGCTACAATAAGACATCAAAAGTAGAAAAAAACAAGAATAAATGATAATTAGATATTCAGTTTGGGAGTACAAGTATTTTCAGCCGAACCGATAAAAGGAAAAAACTTCGTTGAATTCATAAAAGTGTTCTACAAAAGAACAGAGACGAGGACGGTAAATGGGTCTGAAATGAGTCTTGAATGGGTCTTTAGATGGGTCTGAAATGAGTCTTGAATGGGTCTTTGGATGGGTCTGAAATGAGTCTTGAATGGGTCTTTAAATGAGTCTTGAATGGGTCTTTAAATAAGTCTTTAAATGGATCTTTAGATGGTCCTTTAAATGGGTCTTTAGTTGGGTCTTTAAATGGGTCTTTAAATCGGTCTTTATGGGACTATAGACTCAAATGGGACTATAGGATCAATTTTCTTTTCCGAAACCTGGATTTTCCCGTTTACTAAACAAAAAAACAACTATTGAAAGGACTAAAGAAGCAGAAAAATAGTCAGCAATGAGAATTCTATTGACTAGCAAGCTTTTTCACAAACAAAAACGAATCTTTCACAATATAGAACGAATACTTTTTTTCTTCAGAAAAACCGGAATGAGTGCGTCGTTTTTTTTTTAGAAATTTTCCCTTAAACACACACACAAAAAAACACAAATCTGATGAGATCAATGAGAATTCGAAATTGGAGTTTTAAAATTGGATTTGGATTCAAAATTCGGACTTTTAATCCCTTTTGATTTCGGCGCCACAAATGGTGAGTGTCAGGAAGAGATTCGAGCGGAGTTGCTGAGCCTGGAAATCGATGGATTAGAAAAGTTACTAGCGTAAATACTGTAATAGTACCCCACCCCCATAATGACGGTGCGGAGCGTTGCGTAGTCTAGCTTTGAACGCGTTTTTCTCGACACAGGTTTATGCTACAATGCGTGCTTAGGTATCAAAAAAAAGCTGAAATTCAGGGCTTTTTTTGATTTGAATTTTTGAACGAATTTTTCTCGACACTGGTTTATGCTACAATGCGTGCTTAGATATCAAAAAAACAGCCCTAAATTTCAGCTATTTTTTGATACCTAAGCGCGCATTGTAGCTCAAATCAGTGTCGAGAAAAACGCATTCAAAGCTAGACTACGCAACGCTCCGCACCGTTATTATGGGATTGGGGTATTTACGGTAAGTAGTTAAGCTTTTTAAAGTTTAACATATCTTTAAGCTACATGTAATTCATTGTAAAGAAGCTACTGGGCTGGCTTTTGTGGCTGAAAACTAATATTTTGAATCCACCGCTGGACTATACTAGGTGACCGGGAATTATAGCGAAAGCTTTTTCGAAAAGTAGCTGGCAAATGCCTAACTTATTTTAGAAGTGTCAAGTGTTATATAGAGTATTGTAGCCCTTAATCTTGGCTACATTTATCTATCAAAAACATTCCGATTGGACTTATACAACTCATTTTACAAGCTGTCGAATGAGCTCAAGTCGGCTCGAAAGAGCTCTCCGGTGAATCTATCATTTAGTCGCTTTTCTCTATTAAAAATTGTTAAGAAAAGCTTTTCAAAAATGCAAAAATAGCGTTTAACTTCACTTAAAAACGTTAAAAACCACACTTAGCTAATTTTTAAGAAAGAAAAGCGCTTTTTGAATAGAGGAAATGACAGATTCGCCGAAGAGATGTCGACTAGAGCTCATTCAAGCGCTTGTAAAATGAGTTGTATAGGTCCAATCGGAAATTTTTTGGTAGATAAATGTTGCCAAGAATCAGGGCTACAATTTTCTATATAAAACATGGAATTTCTAAAATAAGTTAGACATTTCGCAGCTACTTCTTTTCGAAAAAGTTGTCGCGCTAATTTGCGGTCCTTGTACTCTCTTTGAGTAAAGCTTTTTAAAAGATTCTCATTTGGAAAAGCTACCGTAACCCATAGTCCATTACAATAGCTACAGTAATCCGTAATTCTGATTAGTTTGGCTTTGTAGTAGCCTACTTTTAAACAACTTGTCGGATAAACTACTATAATCTTGCAAGTTAAAGTAAACCTTATCCTACTTATCCAGCTAAACTACTTATCCAGGTTACGGTAACGAGATCCTGTAGATTTTCAAAGCTTATGCTTTAGAAGCTTTTGTCAGCGTGAATCTAATAACTAAAGACAGGTTACTCTCAATTTCTCAAAAATCTTCTCACCTGTGGATTCTCGGCTCTTTGTTGTTGAAGGAGTTGCATCGGTGTCTCTCCACACAAATCGGCCACATTCACCAGCTCGGTCATTTTCTCTTCCGAGAGGAATTCTTTGAAGATCTGAAAATTGATCTTATTAGATCTTCTTTAGATCTTCTTTAGATCTTCTTTAGCTCTTCTTTACGTCTTCTTTAGGTCTTCTTTAGATCTTCTTTAAATCTTCTTTAAATCTTCTTTAGATCTTCTTTAGATCTTCTTTAGATCTTCTTTAGATCTAGAGCTTTCAAGTTCATTTTTTTCCTTACCTCAATCAATTCAGCATTCATCCTTTCAACCGCATAATGAATGACAGTTTTTCCATTGGTTGCATCGGCAACGAATGCATCGGCGTCAGATCGAAGGAGCTCTCGAATCGTTTCCTTGTTATCGATTATCGAGCGACTTTCTTCGTCCAACACTCCATGATTTCTGATTGCGCAAAGCAATGCCGTGCTTCCCATTCCGTTCATTTTGTTCACATCGGTTACTGTATTGGAGCAAAGAGTCTAAAATAAGAATTTCTTTACTGAATACTTTTAAAAGTGAAAGTTTTCGCTTCTATAATGAGTAAGTTTTTGAAATCTTTGAACTCACCTTAACAATCTCGTTCATTCCTCTCGAGGCAGCATAGTGAATAGCGCATTCACGCTCGGGACGGAGTGTCTGAGCGTTCGGGTTGGCTCCAGCTTCAAGCAAATAGGCAACAACCTGGAGTTTAGAGATTTAGAGATGTTAGAGAATAGGAAATCAGTACAGTACTGTTATGTTGTCAGTACAGTACTGTTATGTTTCAATATTCAAAAAGCCAACTCACCTCAGCTCTCCTCTTCTCAACCGCCAAGAACAGCGGAGTCTCGTGGAAGCGATTTGGAAGATCGAACGGTTTCGCGTCCCTCGGATAATTCGTCTTCAACTGTTGCTCAACTAAGGCATAAATCTTTGCGAGATCAGTGTGAATGGTGACAATGTGGAGGAGAGTGTCACGATCGTTGTCTTGATACGAGAGAGCTCCAGGGGCATACTGGAAAGAAGTTGAGTGTATAAAGTAAGAAGATAGGCCTACCAGTCAACTCCCTTAGGTCTATTAGTCAACTTCCTTAGGTCTATCAGTCAACTCCCTTAGGTCTATCAGTCAACTCCCTTACCTGCATACACTTGCAAGTCCACGCCCAAGCCGCATCCATATCAGTGTCAGTGATCAATGAACGGAGTTTCTCCTTCGCAGCTCGATGTCCCTCTTTCCGTGGAGATCCTCGTTGATTGAATGGTGGAGTGAGTGGGCCGGATACTCCGCCGCGTGGAGCACATGGGCTATTGTGTGGGGCTGAGCCGGCGGAGAGTGGCGAATCGCAACCCGAATCGGTCGAATCGGGACGCGTGAGAGCCAACTCGTCTTTGTCTTTCTTCTCGGTGGCTGTGTATCTGAAAGTTTACAGTTTAGTACAGTTGTACAGTTGTGCCCTCGAAAGCTGTAATTTATGCTATACACTCTAGCCGGTGTTTACAGAAATAGAGCTCATTGTAGAAGAAAGTGTTTCCACCTTGAGCACAGCAATTCAGTATCAGCTTACAAGCACTACGAGCAAAAAAGTTCACGAACTCACCGGCGAGAGTATTTGAGAATGAAATCCGAGAGCGCGTCGGGCAGTTCACTCGAGTTCAGCAATCGATTCAAATCCGCTGGGCTCATCGAATGGTCGGTGAACGGGGTTTGACGTGGTGGCGATGATGAGTAGCCCATATCTTGCGAGAGAACAGTGTCCGGGGTAGTTGAGTTGCTGAAAAAAAGTAAAACAAATGACTCATCGACGTAAAGTTTGAGGTTATTATAAACAAGGGGAAGTTTCCCTAATTCGTCAAATTGATCAATCAATCTCGTACCTGATGTATCCCATCGATTCCGGGGAATCTTGCCAACTCGATCCACACTCGTAACCACTTCCATAGGCTGAATAGGCAGAGTAGTCCTCGACCTAGAAATGAAGAAATTGATTAATTGAACATTGTTATTTTGGCAGTTTCTTTACGATAAAGCTTTAGAATCGAAAAATATAAAAAGAGCTGAAAAACCTAGATAAAAGCTGGTTTTCTGACCGGGACGACAGGGTCGCCGTGGCGCAGTTGGGAGCGTGAATTTCTACAGCCCACAGGATGCGGGTTCGACCCCCTGGACTGGCATTATCATAATTTTTCAATTTTTGATTCTAACTGGTACAATTATAATATATTCGAAGGTTTTCTAAAGTTGTTTGGTCTAATGTCCGTGCAGACAGACAGACAGACACTGCTTTTTTTAATATATAGTAGATTTTATTGAATTGCTCGAGTTTTTCTGTTCTATCTTAACTTTGAAATGTAAATTTGGCACATTTGAACTAGGAAGTCCAAGAAAGTCGAAAGAAAGCCAAAATCAAAGTCGAATTTGCATTTAAACCCTCAAAACTTTCTAGCGGAATTTTCCAAAAAGCACCGAAAGCTACAGTACTCAAATTATACATTTAATCAGCTAAAATGGTATCATTGATTGGTATCATTGATTGAGTCTTGTGTTTCCTCGTCGAATGATACGAAATTTATAGTTATAGACTGAAAAACTTGCATTAGGAGAATGAGTCGGCGCCAAACTTTAAAGGGCCTTTTCTAAACACCTTCTTTCACTACGTTCTTTTCTCTACAAATCCCTTTTTGGGATTCTAGTTTTCGTTTTTTGAACTTCGAAGCGCTGGTTTGGTGGCATGTTTTTTTTTTTTTTGAACGTTTTTTTTTATAAACCTTTTTTGGTTTTTTTATAAAAGTTGGGCTCTTTAATTTACTTAATTCCAAATTTTTTGGAGGATCCTTCTATTTTTTTTTTTTATCACGTTTGTTTTTTTTTTAAAAATGGCTTTTTTTTTGGGTTTTTTTTTTTTTTAAATGTCATTTTTTTGATTGTTTTTACCATTCTACTCTTCACTTTTTTTGGCCGGGTGGTTTTTTTGATTTTTTTTTTTTCGCCCACTCTTTCTCCCCCCTATAGACCTATAGACAGTTAAATCTATAGAAACACTAGTGGATTACGGTAGGCTTCTATATTGGCGCTTTTTAGAAAACGTAGCTCCCTTCTTGTAGTACTTCTTTATCTCAATTACCGTGCTCTGAGCGGCCGTTCCATACGGAATGCTCCCGTACATGTAGGGATGATGAGCATATGGAACGTGTGCACTTCGAACCGGACCACGTGGCAACAATTCTCCATCGCTTTCTTCTTTATCATCATCCTGAATCTCAGCTTTTAATAATTCACTCCTTTTTCCACTCACCTTCTTCTCATCGTTCTCTTTATTCTTCAATTTCTCCACATCTTCCGCTTTCTCCACCGGTATCTTTTTATTCTTTTCATCTTCTTCTTTTCCCTCTTTTTTCTCTTCACTTTTGTTCAACAAATCAGCGTAAAGAGCTGCTCCTCCACGTCCGAATTTCGATGTAGTGTTCGTCTTCTTGGCAAGAGCTGATGAACGAATGCTCTGGAATGGTTGAAATATAGTCTGGATTATCTCGGAGCTTTAGTTTAACCAATTCAGTCTTCAGAACCAGTTGTTTCGCTTCTTTCATGGCTTTTAGCACAAAACACAAACGGATTTGTAAAGATTCTTAATCTGTACCTCTTTTACAGTAGTTTGTCCTTCAGAATAATTTGTCAAGTTTCTTTTGACAAGGAAATCAGCGACTTTTAAAAGCACCCAACAATCCCATTTGATATTTTATCCTCCCCGCATAAAAAACCGACCCGGTCACCTCAACAATTCTCCCCGCAGTGTCCACCCCGAGATCCTTTGTTTGTCTCCCCAAAGGGATTGAATGGACGAGAAGGCCTGGGGTCCATTCCTTTCTCTTCAGTCAGTCTTGTTCCTTTTTTCTTCTCATCTCGATTGCAAAACACTCCTCAGACCCTTCCTTTCTCTTCTCTTTTCTTCTCTTTCCTTTCCTTTTCTTCTCTTCTCTTCTCTTCTCTTCTCTTCTCTTCTCTTCTCTTCTCTTCTCTTCTCTTCCCTTCCCTTCCCTTCTCTTCCCTTCCCTTCTCTTCTCTTCTCTTCTCTTCTCTTCCTTCTCTTCTCTTCTCTTCTCTTCTCTCCTCTTCCCTTCTCTTCTCCTCTCTTCCCTTCTCTTCCCTTCTTTCAGATCTACCCCTTGGGGCCGATCATCCCAACGTCCACAAATAGAAAACGTTGACCGTTGAGATAAAAGAAAAGATTCTAAGCTGACTTTTCTGATTTCACAACAAGCCTACTGGGTTACTTATTTGCTGAATAAAAGAAATCTCTTTTGAGACTGTTTTTGGGAATCCTGAGATTCACTTTTTGAAATCAAAAATGTTTACTCAGAACAATTTCAGACTTAATTTCAAGGATTATTTATGAAATCAGAAAGTTTACTCTCAAATCGCTTAATCCATTTATGAGATCAAAAAATTTTGATTTCAAATCGCTTAATTTAAAGATCACTGCAATAAAACCGTTGTTTACGGGTTTTTTTTTCAAAGACGACAACGGGAATTACGGCCGAGTTTTTGAGGGAAAGAAGGATAAGCGATGGAAAGCAATGGGCGCATTTCTATCTCAAGACATGAATGTAAATAGATACAGTAACCAGATTTTCGAAACTAACTAATGAATCGATTGATGATGAGCTTGAAAAAAGTGATTCAAAAGTAGTTATCCTGTGAGTGGCATCGTTAGCCTGTGAAGCTTGGACCTAGCTTCTGGCTGACTATCTCTTGCCTGGCTTACTGACCCTGATTCAAACAATCCTGAGCACTTGAGTTCAGGATTTTTCTGAACTGTGACTGTGAGTTCAATATCAATCTAACAATATCAAGTTCAACATCAATCTCGTCTCACTGTGAACTGTGGCCCAATCAATACTGGACTTTGCTTCAGATCTGGTCCTGGTCCTGGCCTGGTCCTGGCCTGGTCCTGGCCCCGCATGTATTACTAATCTAGCGTTAAAACCCGGTGCGGGGCTCGAACCAGCGACTTTTCTCTTTCCGTGCTGTTCTACCACTGAGCTAAAACTGATCCCACTGCCGCCAGGGTAGAGCCTTGTGCTTTACTCTAAAACCTAGCTGGAACATCCTCGAGTACAACGTAAGTACAAGACTTGAGCACAACGTAAGTACAAGACCAGTTCAGTCTCATTGTTGCCTCTAGTTTATTGTGGTGTCCCCCACTTAACCGGACTCAATCTATTGCCCTTTTCCAATCCACTGGGGTGATGACAGGCCAGGCACAGTTCCTCTCAATGTTTGCGCGTCCGTTGCCGCTCACAGTCCACAGGAAATATAGTATGAATCAGCTGGAGAGAGACATCAGTGAGAGAGACAGCGAGAGAGACATCGGTGTGCCCGTTTTCTACGCCTTCACACACACACACACAAAGAACTGTGTGCGCCTTTCTTTCAGTCTTTCTCCTCTTCCAGTCATCCATCCAGGCCTGAGGGTGTGTGAGACTAAAAATACCCCCACTAAGCACACATAAGAAGCGCCCCCGGGGACAAAATACACAAATGTTGGATGTTGGGAAATTCTCGTCGACGAAAATCTACCTGTAAAGTGACATAGTCGGCTGGCGAGATGTTGTTGATCTCTTTGCGGTGTTGTTTCTTTTTCTCCTCTTCGGGAATATCTGAAAATGGATACGGTAATGTATAGATGAAGAATAATACGTCAAGTATAAGGCTTAGAAATTGGTAAACTCATTGTAAAAGGTTTAGAAATTGGTAAACTCATCCTAAAAACTTATCGAATAGGGTAAAAATTGAGCCTTAAATGATTGAAAACGGATAAACAACTTGACGAAAGACTTCGCTAATAAAAGTCGCTAATGAAAGTCGCTTATGAAAGTTAAGATCAGTGATAGAAAAAGATTCCTAATCGGTTTCCAGCCGAAATTCCAGCGAATTTCGGTGAATTTCGGTGAATTTTTGAAGTGTTTATGTGAATTTTCTAGTGAATGAGGTGAATTTATAAAGTTAAAAAGCTAAAAAGTCAAGCTAAAAGCAAGTCAAAGTCATTAAAAACAACTTTTTGTTTTACTTTATCTCAATGGTACCTTTCTTAAATGTTTTTTAGCCACAACAGGCTTGTAAAGAAAAAGAAATAGAAAGCAAGATTGGATTAAAGAACAAAAATCCTCAACTTTGTTTACTTATTGAGTTTGAATTTTACAAAAAGCGTGTAAGAAATTTCGGTATGCTACAGGATTAGTACGCTACAGGATTTGCTACGCAAGAGGATTCAGTACGCTACAGGATTTGGTACGCTAGAGGATTTGCTACGCAAGAGGATTCAGTACGCTACAGGATTTGGTACGCTAGAGGATTTGCTACGCAAGAGGATTCAGTACGCTACAGGATTTGGTATGCTAGAGGATTCGGTACGCTACAGGATTCGCTACGCTAGAGGACTCGGTACGCTACAGGATTCGGTGCGCTACCGGATTCGGTGCGCTACAGGATTCAGTACGCTAGAGGATTCGGTACGCTAGAGGATTCGCTACGCTAAAGGATTCGCTACGCTAGAGGATTCAGTACGCCACAGGATTCAGTACGCTACAGGCCTCAGTACACTACAGGATTCAGTACGCTACAGGATTCAGTACGCTACAGGCCTCAGTACACTACAGGATTCAGTACGCTACAGGATTCAGTACGCTACAGGCCTCAGTACACTACAGGATTCAGTACGCTACAGGATTCAGTACGCTACAGGCCTCAGTACACTACAGGATTCAGTACGCTACAGGCCTCAGTACACTACAGGATTCAGTACACTACAGGATTCAGTACGCTACAGGATTCAGTACGCTAAAGGATTCGGTACTACAGGCCTCAGTACACTACAGGATTCGTTTCTAACCTTATTTTCCGATATAATCTCCATTGCTATGTAATCATTTTCACACTTACCATTCACCGAAAGTTTCTCCAATTTGCTCGTAATATCCTCATCGTTGACTTGAGTTTTTGGAAGCGCGCACGGGACGGCACGGGCCACAAGGCATCCACCCTCAGGGTCTGCCATACCTAGAAAAAAAAGGATTCGATACGTAAGCACAATTCTTTATTGTATTCTCAATTTCAATGCACTGAAATCGAGAAAACAATAAAGAAAAACTAGATAAACTTCAAGCAAAATTAGCATTTAAAATTGAGAATACAATAAAATACAATAAACTACAATAAACTACAATAAAGAAATCAAAAATATCGATAGATAAAGTTCCTTGTTCAAGAAAAGTGTGGGTGTTGAGTGAACAGTGAACAGAATCGCCAATGAAGCATGATTATTCAGTGAAAAGATCCCAGAAAAGATATCATACCAAAAGAAAACAAATAAAATTTCAAAATCGACCAAATAACTATTATTTTAACCCGTCCAGGAACTAAATAGTTACTAGAAAACAGAAAAAGAAAAGATTCGCCGATCTGGATGCCGATCGGTACGTAAATTTGAGAGAGAAATTCAACGAGACAAGAAAAACTCAACTGTTTACAAGAAAAATCGAAGCGAACATCGTCATGGGATTTTGATGAAAAAAAGGGGAAAAGATGGGGAGAGATTGGGGAATTGTCGATTCAGAGAGATCGGGGAAATCGAGAGTTTTGAGAGGGACAAGGGGAAGAGATGGATGGATGGATGGATGGATGGATGGATAGATAGATGGATAGAAATCTGAGTGAAAAATGGCTTCACTAGGAGAAAAAGGATGGGAAATGGTGTAGAGAAGTGAAAAAAGTGGAAAATAAGAAGATGTTGCTGGGAAATATTGAAGAAATGGAGAGATTGAGTTGGGAAAAGAATTGAAAAACGTCTGCACTCGAACAGAAATATGAGAAAATGGGAAAGAAGGAGGGAAAGAAGGAAAGAAGGAGGGAAAGAAGGAAAGAAGGAAGGAAAGAAGAAGAAGAGACTAGAGAAACGAAAAAAATGGGCAAAGGGGGCGGCGGGGCGGTTCGGCGATGCGATGAAAAGAGACTCGGCGCTGGCTGAGGCGAATCTAGTTCCTGGTCGATAGGTGGGAAGAAAGAGGGTAGGAAAAGAGGTGAAAAAGAGAGAAATCTGAAAGAACTGCTGCCACGGCTCAAATTCGATGAAGAGAGAGAAAGAGCGCGACTATGAGACAATTGAGAGAAGCTGGGGAGGTGTTGACTGGGAAAGCGGAGTGCAGAGACTCTAGACTATGAGACTTCGAGAGAGGCTGGGTTGAACTGCGGGAACTCGGGTACATGAAGCCCCGGGCTCCTCTCCTCTTCTCTTTTCTAGCCTCTTTCCCATTTTTTACGAACTGCGTCAACCTCCCCTTCATCAGTGAAAAGAAGTCGCCGGGAAGTGCAAAAAAATGAAACCCACCGCAAATGGAATCTCGGCAAATGCGCCGAGATCTTTGCTTTGATTTAGATGATGAATTGCGATTTTTCTGAGGTTCATTGAGATCAAGATCGGCTAGAGTTTTAAAAGAATACCGTTTTTGAAGAAAACAAATGAAAAACCTCTAAAATTTAAGCTTTTTGAGTCAAAACCTTGTATTCGTACTTGAAATCTTGAAATCTGTTTAGGTTTCTCATTTATGGAGAGATTCTAGCTCACTAGCAATAGTTTAAAGTCAACTCAGGCATCTAAAGGCACTGACTAGTATGAAAAGTACATTTATCTACACGAATCATGTGGTACAAATAATGCAAAAGCATAAGCCCTTAATATAGAGAAGAAAAAAACCCCGAATATATGGAAAAAGAAACAATAACCTAAGGATTGAACCCTTGACCTCGCGACTAAGATCCAGAGCTCTTAGCCAGTCGGGTATGGCGGCAGACCGCCCATGTCGGCGGAATATGCAAGATGCTCCAATCGGGCCTTAGCCAAGTAAGCCAGGTTAGGCCAGGAGCAGGTTAGGCCAGGAGCCAGGTCCAGGCCAGGAGCCAGGTCTAGGCCAAGAGCCAGGTCCAGGCCAAGAGCCAGGTCCAGGCCAAGAGCCAGGTCAGGCCAGGAGCCAGGTCAGGCCAGGAGCCAGGTCAGGCCAGGAGCCAGGTCAGGCCAGGAGCCAGGTCAGGCCAGGAGCCAGGTCCAGGCTGCTGGTGACCTAAGGACTATTAGTAATAAGGCTGCGCTCGTAGATAAGGCGGAGCTCGTTTATAAGACGGCGCTTGTATATAAGCCGGCATCCGTATATAAGCCGGCACCCGTATATAAGCCGGCACCCGTATATAAGTCGGCACCCGTATATAAGTCGGCACCCGTATATGAGTCGGCGCTCGTATAGAAGGCGGAGCTCGTAGATAAGCCGGCGCTCCTGAGCTATTATTAATAACTCTTTGTGACCTATTACTAAGTCGGTCAAGCAAAGCCAGAAGCCATAGCAAGACCTAGCAAGACAAGCATTTACTTGACTCAAAAGCACTTTATATCCTCTCTAGTTCCTTGAGCTAAATATTTAAAATATTTAGCTCTTTTTTTCGTTTTAATCTACACACGAATCTCTACTGAAATTCCATAGAGATGAACTTTTCAATCCCGGGATCTCATAAATCCGGCATTTGCCGTGAAAAACATCCAACACCGAATTGAAGCCAAATCGATTAGGAAACAGGAAATGGAAAAAAGGAAATGGAAAAAAGGAAATGGAAAAAAGGAAATGAAAAAAATAGGATTTAAAGCTTTTAAGGTAAAAAAGAATTTATTCAATAAAAAATTCAAAATTTTGAATATCTTTTGCAATTTTAAAAGCAACTCTGAGAATTCTGAGAAGAAAATGATTCGAGAACGAGGCAATTTCGACAAAAGCAAAAGCAATTGGCGCAGTTTTATTTGCTTCAATCGGAATGAGGGCAAATGAGAGCAAATTTCGGTACAAAACACAACTTTTTCCCTGTAACACTGATCGATGGTTAAGCCAGAAAGCCAGAAAAGCCAGAAAAAAAACAAGGATGAAAGAGCGTTACATAAAAAGTCACAATTTGATCGAATTGAGTGCATGTGGTGCATGAAAAAAACACTTTTTGATAGTAGTAATGAGTCAATCACTTTCGTAGGAACAGCTCGATTTTCTAGCTCATTGTTTTGCTGAAAAATGTATGTTTCATTTTGAAAGATCAAATGATAACAGTTCTATGAGTTTGTGAGGCTGTCATGGCTGGCTGTCATGGCTGGCTGGCTAAGACTGGCTAAGAGTTCTGTAGCTTAATCGGGAGCTCGAGGGTTCAATCCCGCCGGTTAGCTTATTGACAGAATACATGAGAGGATTTACATGTTACAGGATGGATTTGCATGAGCTGAAAACTGAAAGCATGATTATATATAAGTGAATGATTTGAGAGAAGATTTACCAACACTTCTCTGTACGGAATTTCGATAGCGTCGCCTTATATACGAGCGCAGCCTTATATACGAGCGCAGCCTTCTGGACGAGCGCAGCCTTCTGGACGAGCGCAGCCTTCTGGACGAGCGCAGCCTTCTGGACGAGCGCAGCCTTCTGGACGAGCGCAGCCTTCTGGACGAGCGCAGCCTTCTGGACGAGCGCAGCCTTCTGGACGAGCGCAGCCTTCTGGACGAGCGCAGCCTTCTGGACGAGCGCAGCCTTCTGGACGAGCGCAGCCTTCTGGACGAGCGCAGCCTTCTGGACGAGCGCAGCCTTCTGGACGAGCGCAGCCTTCTGGACGATCCCCGCCTTATATACAAGCACCGTCTTCTATACAAGCACCATCTTATGTACAAGCACCGTCTTATATACAAGCACCGTCTTATATACAAGCACCGTCTTATATACAAGCACCGTCTTATATAAAAGCAAAGCCTTTGAATAACTCAGGTTCGGGATTTTCAAAGTGTTCCTAAACAAGCTATTTTGAGAAAATAAAGCAACTAGAGGCAAAGAAATCTTTACACACAACAAATAGGCTTTTTAGGCTTTAAGGATTACAATATAAAAATCAAGCATTTAGAGAAAGCAATGATTTCAGATGAATTTCAAATCTTCACTATAAAAGGTGTTTAAAGTACAGTCGACTCTCGATACAACGATTTTGAAATTCTAAGACGATTCTAAGTTCTAAGTGCCTTTGTTTTCAGCTTCCCAGCCCAACGCAATCGTTGGCTGCCTAGAGTAGCTACACAAGAGATTTGGGGCACGTTTTAAATCGAGAGTTTCAGCTTGTTAAATCGAGAGTTTTAGTTTGTTAAATTGAGAGTTTTAGCTTGTTAAATCGAGGGTTTTAGCTTGTTAAATCGAGAGTTTTAGCTTGTTATACCAAGAGTCGACTGTATTCATTGATTCAACATAAATAATACGACACAAACAAATACAAAACTCATCACATAATTCCTAAAGATGTTGTAGAGAAAAAACTCATATATGGGAAAAAGAGTTCAATTTTCTAGCCGCTGGGATCGAACCCGTGACCTCCTGGCTAGGGTACAAGTCTTCTAACTACTCTGCTACTTCCTAACCACTCTGCTACTTCCTAACCACTCTGCTACTTCCTAACCACTAAAATGAGCACTAAAATGAAATCCCCAATGTGTTTACATCAATACTGCTTTCATTTTAATCAAATTTTATGAAACCGTAAACAGGAGAACTCTTAAAAGACACATTTTTAAAAGCCCAATGTGTTTACTGAAAGTGATTACTGAAAAAGTGATTACTGAAAGATAAAGCAATCACTTTATGAAGTCAGATGAACTTTCACTGAAGTCAGACGCAATTTCAACAATCATTCAATCGCGTAACTTCACTCCCAAATAAAGAACAATAAAAGAGGAACTAGAAATAAACAAAAATTCTCAGAATAGAAAGAGGAAGGGGAAAAGTGTGTGGGGGATATAGAGGAAAGGGGCGGGACTTGGATCACACGATGTCCCATAGAAGAGGCTGGTACTCTGGCCCTGGGGGACAGCTCTTTTTTTTATCTTTCTTTCTTTCTTTTTTTCTTTCTTTCTTTCTTTCTTTCTTTCTTTCTTTCTTTCTTTCTTTCTGTCTTTCTTTCTTTCTTTCTGTCTTTCTTTCTTTCTTTCTTTCTTTCTTT